TTTTGCATATGTTTGATATTTATAAGATAATGAAGACAATAAAATACAAAAAGTTATACTTTTTATATATTTATAGTATTGGTTTTAACAATTGTATTAATTTTTATCATATAATTGTGTTTTTCATTAAAAAATTATATATATTATAAATATATTAATATATCATAAAATACAAATATTATTATAAATATATGTAATTATATTTTGGACTATATTTACTTGGATATACTATAAATTATAAAATCACATATTATATTTTTTTTATATTGAATATAACTTAAAATTAGTAATATTTGTATTTAGGATAAAAAGACAATTGTTAAATTTTGGTAAATATAAAGAATAATCATGTTTTTAAAGTGGTAAATATAAGTTGAATTTGCAAATTCACCGAAATTCTCAACTTTAGTTATAAACTTGGGCCATAAAGTCCGACACGTTATAACAGTATTTTGTTTCTTTTGTTTTTCGGGATATTAATATATTTTCTCGAAATATATACCTGTTTTACTTATCATTATTTTCCCTTATTTCGATTTTTTGCGTCTTATTTTTTGATTTTTAATTTTCTACTTACACTACAATTTCCTTATTTCAAAATCATGAATTATTTTGGTTTATAAAACACGAAAAATTAATTTCATACCCAAATTTTATACAAAAATCGCAAATTTAATCAATATTATAACATTTAAAAAATGAAAATAAAAATTATTGTTTTTTCAATTCGTTGATTTGTACGATAACAACGAAAAACACGACTTAATTATAATTTTATTATTAAATTAAACTAAAAAGCGTATCAAAATTTTATAAGGAAACACATGAAATTAATTAAAACACCACAAGTAACAAAACAATTTTTATTTTCGTTATGTTGAAAATATTAAAATATTAATTATATAAATGTAAATATATAATAATTGATTAATTTTGTTTTTATAAATGAAATATAGGTGATTTGAAATATTAATTGAAATAAAAATACTTTTTTATAATAAAATAAAAATTAACAATTTTCACTTGTTTTTATTTGACTTTTATAATATTTAATCATTTCATTATTAATTTATTATAGAATTTGTTTAATAATAATATGAAAAGACAAAGCAAATTACATTATTGTTTCATGACAGAAATATATAACAATAATGACATTTGTAAATGGAACACTTTTTATTAATTATTGTGATTATAATAAAATGTATTATAATTATAGTTTTGTTAAACAACAATTATAATCAAAAATTCATATTTTTGTAATGCTAAAAAAACTATTTTTACATATCAAAACAAAGTAGTTACTTTATTTATAATTTGTGAAAACAATGAATGTTTTAATGAACGTTTTTGTGGGATGAACAAATAAATAATTGAAGAAAAAACACATCAAAAATAATATAAGAATTATAAATGCTCATAACATTTAGCTCATTTCCCGTTTTTTTGACATAATTCATTAATTATTTCAATAAAAATTTTAAAAATAGCAGAAAAACAAATCCGAAAGTCCGATACGTCGGACTTTGTGTCTGGAGTTTATGAGACTTGAAAACGCGTTGAAAAGAAAAAAACATGCAAAATGTTATTTAACTACTTTTGTTTTTTATTGTGGTATGTATGTGATTATAAACATGGTACTTCAGTTATTTTATTAAATTGTATTAAGACTAATCTATATAAACAGACTCAATTTTATAAAAATAAGTTTATTAGTAAATTTCATTAATTATTTTATTTACTATATTACAAAATATGTTTAGATTATAAAAATTATAATAAAACAATATATTTTGATTATGTAATAATTTATTTTTTTAAACAACTCAATAATATTTTTTTGAATTACTAAAATAGATTTAAAACTTTTGATTTGATAAATATTATTAATTAATAATAAATTTTATTGGTTTATTTTTTTAATAAAATAACTATTAATATAATTTTATTAATCTTTTATTGTTTTATTATTATAAAACTAAATATTTAAAATTTTAATTAATTAAATTAATATTTTATATAATTTAAGTAAATTTAATTTTTTAATAAGTAATAATATTTAATTAATTATACTATTATATATCATTCTATACTTATAAATATAAAGAGTACAGACAAACTGTTTTTAATAAAAAATTATGAAACATAGTAAAATATACAGCGATCTTCCTTTTGAACAAACGTGCAAATTTTTTGAGAACTGTAACTTAGTTGCATTATTTTCGAGTTGTCAAGTAAATTATTTTTTGTCTTTTTGTTTTTTATTGAAATAATAATAATCCAACAAAAACAGTTCAAAAACTGTAAAAAAACTAAACAAACAACTAAATACCAATAATCTTTGGTTAAATAAAAATATAAAACCAATTGTACGAATTGTTTATTTGTTTTATTGAAAATAATCAACTTGTATCCCAAAAATGTTATTCATAAAGAATTGAGTTTTAAATTATTTGTACATAATTTTTATGTATATAATATATATAATATTTTATGTATATATACATAAAATATTATATTTATCATTTATATAAAAGTTTAACTACATTATTAAAAAAAACAAGATTTTTTAAATTTTAAATTAATTATTTGTGGTTATAATTAATTTATTATTATTAAACCGTTTTTGATCAAATAAACGCTAAAAAATAATAAAACAACACTGAACATAAATATTTAAAGCAACATTTAAACATTTGTTTCAAAATGATATTAACTACAATTAATTATATCATTAACATAATTCATACTTTAGCAAAGATACATTATGCATTATTTGAACTCGTTTTCCAAATTTTCCAATACATTTATATCATTGATATCATATTTATCGATATTTTTTAATTTGTATTTTTTAACAATTTCACAAATGTCAAAATTACCACACAATGCGATTCTTATTTGTGCTTCGAGGTAGTCGTTTAACATTTTGTTTCTATATTTTGTTTTTATATTTGCCATTGTTGAAAACCCACATTCTGAAAGGACAGAAGTTGGGAATATCGATTTTATCACAGCACAAATTCGATATAAATAAGGAAAGTTGTTTTTGTTAAATTCCAAACCCGTGTATTTTTTTGTATTTAAAAATGGTAATGCATAAAAGGCCACAAGCTCACCCATCAATTTTAACGTGACATTTTTATCAAAAATTTCGGTTGTTGTTATTTTCAAAGTTTGTTTATCGACAAATTTCTGAATAGAATAACCAATGTTAAAACCTTTCATCATAAAATTAACGATGTTACGGTTCATTTTTCCTTCCAAAAAATAATCAAACAAATAATCCAATTTATTGAAATCATCAAATTTAACATCAAACACGTCGAACAAATCATCAATAAAATTTCCTGCCAAACTTGTTCTTAAAGAAGTATTTTTACACACTGAATTATAATAAGGAAAATACATCGAATTTATATAACTTTTATCTCGGTATTGTTTTACAAAGTTTACAAAACAATTAAGTTGTCTTAATATTCCCAAACAATCCAAAATTTCAAGAGTGTTTGTTTGGAGAAGTTTACAAATTGATGAAAATTGTTTTAAAATATCAACCAAAAAAGCCAAATCAATATAAAATTGTTCAGTACTCATTTTTCCAACAATTATTATTGATTTTTTGTTTTTGGGGTAGAATATATTAATGTAAGATATTATACATGAATAATTTAAAAAAATGATTTCTAATGAAGTCGCGCGAGTGATCCACCTTGTGATTGAATAACCCAAAATTGTTTGACAAGGTGCATTTTGCGTTCTAAAAAATGTGTTCATGGTATCTTTAATTTTCGGACTTCCAAATACCCAACTTAAAAACAAATTGACGGTTTCAATAACATGACATTTTTTTAATACTGCTGCACATAAATTTTCTTGATGTAATGCACATTTAATTCTAAAAACTACTTTCACGCCCAAATCAATTAAATTATCAACTAAAATCGTTTTAGTTTTTTCCATAGTTATACACGAGTCAGTTGTCAAATTTGTTATTTTTGTTAAATCTATATGTTCTTGTTCAAAATAATTAATAATTGCACTTTTTGTTGAAATTGCAGAATTATTATGGTTTTTATTATGGATAATTGTTAAAAAGGTGTCATGTACGACTAAATCTGAATTTACAATTCTAACAAAAACAATGAGTTGTGATTTTGAAGCACAATCTGTCGTTTCATCAAATTGAACACCAACACACTCTGAATTATTTATTTATAAAATAGTTTTGTTTTTCAAATAATTCCCAATCAAAATTATGGAATTTCTCATCGCCTTTTCTCCTAATTTCAGTTCACTAACAAACGTGCACAAAACATCAAATTGTGGGTTTTTAAAATTCATTTTTTTCAACAAATTTAACAAACAACTCAATGACTCTGAAATTACACTTCCCATTCCAACAGGCAACATTTTCTTTGAAATGATTTTTGCTACAAAATATTTAAATTCTTTTTTCGCTAAAACCCATTCATTTAATGGAGTTATTGTATGAAATTTTGTGTCAAAATTAACCAATTCTTTTTTACTTATTAATGGTATAGTTGGATGCCAAAACTCATAATTAAAAAATGTGTTTTGATGGGGAAGTTCTAAAATTGGTAACATATTTTCGTTT